TGGGTAATTTGCTGCATGAATTTATTTTATAAGGTTGGCTAAGTGAAATTTGGACTCGAATAGTTATTAGTCCAAAAATACAGAAATAGGGCATCACAAGTTGAGTTTGTCCAATTCAAATCGTTATAATAATTAGTACAAACTCGTATAACTTAAGTGTAAACTTGAATTTATTAATTCCTACGATTAAATTAGTGTATAATTTATACCAAAATTATATGAATTTATATCAAATATAATAAGAATTACATGAACTCTATCCTACTTTATGACATTTGTATAACCTACTTCATTCTATTTTAAAGGGAAGGAGAATCTAACCGATGAGAAACACCATCGGAGGAAGTTATTGAAGCGGCTAATGAGAAATAAGATTTGAATCCTTGACCTTTCACCCACCACCAAGACAGTATCCAAGACTTAAAAGAGTCTCGGATAAAGTCTTAAAGTCTCTTGGATAAAGTCTTAAAAGTCCCAACACACCAAATGACTGTTGGCTCCTGTGCAAACTCGAGTAACACATGTACAAACCGAAATACTACATGTTACTATTTAAAGGGCCTACCATGCACCTCAAAATGTCTGAGCTACTAAATTTTGAAATTTTGATTGCCAGTGCGATTTTAACTGCTAATTTCCTCCAACCATTCAAGGACACTGGTTTCTTGACTTCGAATTTTCAGTTCTTGAAACAATGCATTTTTCACGTTCTAGGAAACAATTTTCAGTATCCGCATCATTGCTTTTCCTTTGCCCTTGAATCATGCTATTACCTTGGGGCATCACGAGGGTGCTTAGCCCTTGTCTTTTTGTACCTCGTGTTACACTTAGACTGGATCATTGATCATACCCCCAACAGAAACATGTATCAATGTTTCATCACTTGCATATCACCAAATACCACGAGATCTTATACTGCTAGCCACAATTTTTTCCATGTCTAAACACATCTCACTTTTTTTCATGATTATGTTAACATAAAACAGCTTAAATGGATTTGCAATCGAGCTAATTGGAGGTGCAAATAGATCCACTTAGAATGTGAGTTTCAAGATTTCGTTGTATTCCTTTTAACTTTTTTTCTTCTAAATGCATCCAAAGGAAAAAAAAATTTCTTCTACTTACCATGTCATTTATAAGATAGATATGCAAGACAAATTATTGCAGAAGTACCACTATATGTTGTTATGCAGATTGAACTTTTTGATACATATCTGAAGTGCATTAAGTGATGTAACCCGGTTAACCTATGACATTGATTCCACTTCTTAGCTATAGTTTGTGTGGATTTCAAAATTTCCACATTTAAATAAGGGATAATTTCAAAAACCTCCCTTGAGGGTTTTGACAATTTCACTGCCCTCCCCCGAGGTTTTAAAAATTTCACTTACTTCCCCTGTCAGTTATTTGGAGCCCAACGCTCACATCACTAATGGTTAAATGATTCTGTTACCCTTATAACTTAGGATAATTATACATATCTTTGAAGGAAAAGAATTAAAAGTTTGCTAACTACATTAACCATAATTTGGATTGTAAAAAGTTAATTAATTTGCCATCTAAAAATAGAGCTAATATTAGGTTCATCCTTTTTAATTTTTGTATACTTGACAAATAAAAGAAATCAGATGTAATGCAGTTAATAAATTAAAGGATCTAGACATGAGAAATAATTAAGCTGTTTACAAACTAAATTAACCATAATTTGAAATGTAAAAAAAAAAAATCTAATTCGGCATCTAAAAATGGATACAATACTAGGGATCCTTATTCCAATTTATGTACTTGATAAATAAAAGGAATCAAATATAAAGAGATTTCAGTTGGGCTAATTTTTCTTATAATTCCAGAGATAGCAAGAATCTTAAGGTGTGGAAAAAAATTATTTTGTTAAATTTTGAAAGTTGTTATTTTTTGTTATGAATGATGGAAATTTTTTATTGATCATGTATCGTAATAGCCTCAGAAGTAAATTAACAAGTTAGATCAAATATTCAATCTAACTAGTATAATAGTTAAGGGACACTTCAGGCATAAATAAATCTTCTCATACCTGAAATTATTTTTTTTTGTTGTTTCTTTTTTTAATTGGGATAAATTGTTACAAGAAAATTGGTTTCAAGGGAGGTAAGTGATAATTTTAGAACCTCAAGAGAGGGCAGTGAAACTGTCAGAAACCTTAGGAAAGATTTCTGAAATTATCCCTTTAAATAACACAAACCTATACATACTTGGACACTTTCACCAGAACCTTTCTGTCCAACCTATACATATACACATGTTAAAGCGGAATGAGAAAGAGAGAGTGAGGTACAGAACAATCAATTACTTTCTCTCTTTCCTTTAGCTTGTTGCCTTCATAGCTTTACATAGTAACCTTTCATTTTTGTTAAGAGAAATATGAAGCGCCTCTACTCCTCTGCAAGTGCAAGGTTGCTAATAACAATAGTATTTTTGTTGCCGTTAAAAGAGGCAGACTGTTCTCTTAGACAGTTAAAGATGTACGAATTCCAAGAAAAGATTCAAGAGAAAACCATATTCAGTAGCATTGCTGCAACACCTGCACCATCACCAGCTCATTCCATAGATCCCAAAAAGGTGATGACCGCAGAACTTCTCTATTTTCCCATCATTTTCTTCTCTTTTTTTTTTTTTATTTTCAAATCATTGACACACGTTCTTTTTTCTGGGGTTTTTCTTTACATATGCATGGATTGTTGATTTAGAGCGATGGAAGAGTCTTCTATCCCATTGGATATGGTGCTGACCCTAGTGGTGTAGCAGATAGCAGTGATGCCATACTTGAAGCCATTGGTTATGCATTTGGAATACAGAATAAAGGGTTTCAACTGTTACCTGGAATAAAGGATTTGGGAGGTGTTGTGATTGATTTGCAAGGTGGTAATTACCTAATCAGCAGGCCTTTGCGCTTTCCATCTGGTTTTGGCAATATCTTGGTATGTTTCATTCTCTTGCTAGCCTCTAGTCTCTAGTCTCGACCTTTATTAAGGAAAAGCCAAAAGATTCTTTCATTTTTACATCATTCCACCAAATATGAGATTAGGAAGAGACAACATAAACTCATTTCTGTAGGCATAATTTGACAAATCAAGCATGTATAATTACTAGGAATACAAAACTCATTTTCAAACTTGCAACAATATCCCATAAATTACACACCATTAGAAAAGTTACAAGTGAAATTCAACACTTGTAGCCCTTTCTTCTAGATTCACACCTTTAACGTGTTTCCGATAGTAATAGTGTGAGACGTTAATACATTAAAAAGGTAGAATAAGATGGAGAGGCCTAAATTTAGGTTGCATTTGATAAAATTGAAATCTGAAAATCTGAAGTCTGAATTTATTAAATTATTGAATTGCTAAGTGCTAAATTTAATACATTTTAGTGTACATCTCATTAAGTAACAAGTAAATAACTTATCACTTATTTTTTAGAGCAAATTTTGTCTAAAAAATTCAGTGTCACTTAATTAATTCAGATATTCAATTTTTAATTATCAAAAGCATTTAAACATATTAAAATTTGAATTTATTAAATTTATGTGCCGAGTCTTTTTCAACCCGCACATGAGTTTTCACTGAAACCTGTTTCGATCCTAGTGACTGTCTAAGCAGTTACAAATTCTTCCAGCTATAACCCAAGATATTTTTACTGCCACTTGTACTGCTAATAGCAGAATTCTTCAATGGTTGTGACCATCTTTAAGACCGAGGACTTGAACCCCTACAGTTGGGAGTTTTTTAATGTTGTAAAGAGGAAAACTCTTAACAAATGCTCGAATTTTAGAGCGGCTTTTAGCAGTCCGCACTGGAATACGTAAATGGGGCTATTTAATTAAGCTTCTTTTGCATGGGATTGCAGGAATTGGAAGGTTCCAAAATGGAGTAGTACTACTTTTCTAATCAATTCATTGATGGCTCTTTAATTTCAATCTTTCGCCAAATGAATTAGTTTACTGCCGACAACTGACACCGACCATTTTGTACTAATCAAGGCAATTGGAATCTGTCTAGCTTTAGCAACTTTCTACCCTTTTTGTTTTTCAGTAGGATATTCAAGTCAAATTTCGGAAAGTTCTTCCCATTCAACTATGGATTTATTTAAGCAGCTCAATATGATTTTTTTTTTTTTTTTTTATAAAAAAAGATGAAATCTTCAAGTAAATTTGACTAACAGGAAGCTCATCGCGAACATTATTACACCATAATGGTTAATTATCGTGTAATTTTATGGAATGTTGTTGTTATGGATATAAGACCATTATAATTACCCTTTGTTTGTGCTTACTTTAAATTGATAGACTTGCCTCATTGTATTTGAAAAATCTTCACTACAATTTTTGTTAATTTGTTTAAATACTTATGTATTTTGAGTTTCAAAAATGAAAAAAAAAAACACACACAAAATGTGATTACAAAATTACCATAATGTCATTCAATATTTTTTTTTTCTTCTTTTTTGTTTCATAAGTGAGAAGTCTGCATTCAGAACCTCTAACTTACAAGTATCTTACTATCCAACCCAACCCGCCCTGATAATTTCATTCAATACTAAAAACTGATAAGCAAATTAACTTTTGCCAAGTGATTTATTTCAGACAAAACATTCTATCTCCAACCAAAGGACATATTACAGCTTACAAAAGGCTTTTGAACTGTTGAATCGTTATAGTATATTTTTCTACAAAATTTTCAAAAAATAACAATCCAAACAGGCACACATGGTAAGCACATCAACCCTCCCCTATTATTTTTTTTTGCCTTTGTAAGAGTTGAAAATTTATTTTGAACCTAATTTTTTTCTTTTTCTTTTTAATGACTCTTGAGCCTTTTTGTACGGCTAGGAGTCTCCCTTAAATTAACTGTTTATTTTCCCTTAAATTTTGACAATGGTCGACTAGTGGCATTTAACTGTTTATTTTCCCTTAAATTTGGGCAAATGGACAAAATTAATCAATCTACCTTCATAAAGGATTATGAATGAATAAAGAAGTTTTATTCTGTACAAATAGTCAAAAACAAGCTTGTAATTCGTGAATGAAATATGAAGAAGACTTTGACTAGAGGGTTTTAAAATGCTTGATACAGGATTGTGATTGTTCATTCTAAGTTTCTGACTTTCGACCAGTTCTTTTCTTGCCCAGTAGGTTCAAGGAGGCACTTTAAGAGCATCCAACACATTTCCAGGACATAGGCATCTGATTGAGCTATGGTCCCCAAACTCAAGAAAACTTGAAAAAGAAAGTACTACCATTCATCATCTTCATGGCCTTTCAGACAGGGAAGACCAAAACAGTGGCATCTACTATGAAGATGTTACTTTCAGGGACATACTCTTTGACTCAAGCTACCAAGGTGGAGGACTTTTTGTAATTGATGCTGCAAGAATCCGCATTAACAACTGCTACTTCATCCATTTCACAACCCAAGGAGTTCTAGTCGAGCGAGGCCATGAGACTTTCATCTCAGGCTGTTTTCTAGGGCAGCATGAAACAGTTGGTGGTGATAGTGGCGAGAGAGGTTTTTCAGGCACTGCCATTGAGCTTTCAAGTACAGATAATGCTGTCACTGATGTAGTCATCTTCTCAGCAGCTGTTGGAATCACAGTAAGTGGTCAGGCTAATATCATTATCGGTGTGCATTGCTATAACAAGGCTACATACTTTGGTGGAATTGGAATTTTGGTGCGAGCAGCTCAGACTAGGGTGGAGAGTTGCTACCTAGATTACAACAGTATAGTGATTCAAGACCCTGCTCTAGTGCAGGTATCAAATGGCTACTTCATAGGGGATGGAAACATTGTATTGAAATCAATAAATGGTAAAGCTTCAGGGCTAAATATCATTAACAATATATTTGCTGGGGATCCTAGAAATATGGTTCCAATAGTGAAGTTAGATGGTGAATTCACGGACATAGCTCAAGTGGTGATTGAGAACAACATTGTTACTGGAATGACCTTGAAGTCAACTGTCGGAAAATTGACAGTAGCCGGAAATGGAACGCAGTGGATAGCTGATTTTTCATCTGTTTTGGTGTTTCCGAACAAAATAAATCATGTTCAGTACTCAATTTACACTGAAGGGGTGGTTGCTGGATTTCCAGCTCATAAAATGACTAATGTATCAAATAATCTTGTTGTAATTGAGAGTGAAAAAGCTTTTAGTGGTGTTATTTCAGTTATAGTTGACCAGTATAACATGGATGGAGAGAGAAATTTATGTAATACATAGAGATTTTACTGTTCAATCTATTGGTTAAGCAGTTCGGAGATGGAGAAAACCTCCTCAAATTGGTAAAGCTGCTGGATTTTTTTTTTAACCCAATTGTTGACATTGTACTCATATGTATAGCATATGCAACTAAAGACATTTCTAGGAGCACGATGGTTTAAGAGATTTGTAAATGAAAATTCTTCCTCGGGCAAAACTTATCATACCCTTTTCTTCTATATCCTCATTACCCATTGTTAGATCAGAGAATTTTGTTACTCTAAAGCAATTAAGAGTTCACTTCCACAAGTAGTTCCAATAATGAATTTGGAGGTTCCTTGCACTCACACTGGACTTTAAAAGTGTGCAACATACTTAGCTTCCCAGATGAAAATAAACTGATGGTGTTAAAAAGGAAAAACTAGTGCAATTTGAACTAACTACTGCCAAAAGCTACAGTAGTCTGGATAGAAATTTTGTCCATAATTTGTTCACAAGCTTTCATACCACTGTTGAAATCACTTTGTATATGGTAGTATAGAAGATTGTACTATCCATGGTTTTGCACAAAAGGGTACAAATAATCTGTGTAACAGAGATCAAACCCAATCAAAAGCATTAGCCTAGGACTTAAAAAAGTTGGGAAGCACAAAATAAAATACTCTTCACTATGCTCAGGTAATAATAATTGTATCAAATCTTTATCACCACAAGTTCATATTAGCTGTACAAGTGTCCTTTTTACCCAAGTATGCTATCATGGGTGTTGTTTATAAAAATTTAGAATACTATAAAGTGAAACAATGAGAAAATCATGCCTCGGCAATAATGTCTGTACCATTTTAATAAATGCCTATTATAACTTGTTGTGTAGTAACTTGCCTCTCAGAAAAATCAAGTGCAACAGATTGGGAAGAGAGAAGCCGAAAAATGTGTAGAATCAGAACCAGCAGAAAATTCCAATTGCCTAGTCAAGTCCATGCTTAAGAAGTCTCAAAGGTTTCCTAATTGCTGCATTTTGCTCATTCATTGTCTTCATCTTCAGCAGGCATATGCTGCTCCTCAGGGGGTCCTGACGTTCTTGGATATCCGCCAAACTCATTTGACCTTGGTTTTGCAAGATCAATAAAAATAACCCTGCCATCAAAATACTGAAGAAGTAAAAGGAGATGAGCCCTCTAGGCAGACTATTTCCTGCAGAAGGGGAAAAATAGGTGCAGGGATCACCTTGTGATCCATGTTATCCACAGCAAGTAAAGCATCTTCCTGGGAAGTATATTGGATAAATGCAAGTCCTTTTGACCTATTTGCCTTTTCATCCTTGACAAGCTTAACTACCAAAGCATGGAATGAAAATAAACAAATTGAAGAAGGGCTTTCCATAACATATATTACAGAGGGAAAATGTAAAGACTTGAACCATATGAAATATACCTTCAGCTATCTTGCCATACTTGGAGAATTCCTTCAGCAAACTACTTTCACTAGCAGTATATGGTAAGTCTGCAAAAAGTCAAAGATTGAGCAAAACTTTAACAACGGTTGACATGGAAATTAGTCACTCATAAATTAAGATAATGCTCCATAAGAACAACATTCAAATTAAATTGGTAATTGAAATAAATTTCAGATCAATTTTTAAAATCTATTAATTGCTTAAAATTTCAAAATAAGGACTGCTACCAAACTGATATTTTGAGAAGGATGCCACAGAACAGTTCTACTGCTTCCACTGTCTTGGAAATAAATAAAAAAACAGGCTGCTTGATGTCATCACTTCATGTTTACATATGGGGCATCCAAATGTCAGTCACTGAAGGAAAACTCAAGGAAAAAAGATCTAAATTCCCAATAATTTTCCACAGAGAATCCAACGCTCATCCTCAGAGTTCATTTTTCTTGCATTCCCAATCTTCAATCAACCCAAACATTAAATTTCACTGATGAACATAAAACATAATCTTCCATCTTCCAGACACACCAACTCTAGCTAATAACCATTGTACTGCACTCATTCCTCCAGGATTCAACTCTTATTAGCCTCATCAGATATACAAATCCTAGATTCTGCAATCCATACAACTTCAGAAGCATACTAAATAAACATTTAGTTCATCCAAACAGAGCGCAGAATTATTCTACTACGGATTTTTATCAAACACCTTACAACCAACTCAAAATCATTATTCACTTCCCTTCTTATGATCCCTTTAAACCAGTCCTCCTTCTTTTCCACTTAAAACCCACCAAAACCCTTCCCCAACCCCCACCCCACCACCAAAAAGAATAATTGTATCCTTCATTAATCAGAAACTGCTAAACACGGATGGCAAGAAAAACCCTGATGCCACACTAATAGAGATTACAAAAAGCACAGAAAATTCATATATTTGCATGAGATCAATTGGAAACAACAAATTCGAAGAAAACCCACGTGGATAGTACAATCAAACATATACTAACTAAAATAACTTTGTTACAATTACATAATCCAGTAAAAAAATGAATGAATTTTTGCTTAAATCGATAAAAATGGATGACTTACTTCTAATCATGATCTTGCTTGCAAGAGGATACTTGAGTAGACAAGCATGAATATTTCTTGATGAGTTAAGCTGCTTCAAATTTGCTCGACATGACAATTGAAAGATGGGCAATTTTGTCGACGGAGCCCAAGAAGGAGGTAAGAAAATGCTCTTAGCCATTTTTCTGACTGTTGTTGATACAGAGAAAGCAGCACTCATTGGAGTGAAGTTTATTCTGCAGCAAGCCTTTTCTCTCTTATGCCTTGTCAGATTCTGCCAAAAATAAATAGGTAAACGAAAGGGATAATTACAGAAACCTCCCTTGAGGTTTCTAACAATTTCACTAGCCTCCCCTAAATTTTAGAAAATTACACAAACCTCCCCTGAGATGAAGGTTTTGATAACAAAGTTAGTCCAATAACAAAAATAACATTAAAAAAGTACTTAAGGAGAAAGATGAAACTTTTATTCCATAAATACCTCTTATGCATGTATTAGTAAAAGAATAAAAATAATTAAAAATTAGAAACAATTAATACACACATTTAATCACTCAAAAAGTTCACATTTAACAAATATGCCCGCGATGATATGCAGCGCCAAATGTAGGGCTGAATTTTGTTTGATCCAACGCTCCTTTTTCGCTGACGCTATTACAACGGATAATAAAAATAACAAATCTAACACACAAATAAAAATTATAGAAACCACCCTAAAAATGGCTTCTTGGGCAGCTTTATTGATACGAATGAGGGGTTCATGAACCTAGGGGTCCTCATTCTGTATCAATCATGAGCTTTGGTGTTTCTTGTATATGATTATGTGTTTTGAGCTATTGAAATTCCAATTTAGAATTCGTGTTTCGATACACATTATTTGCAAATAATTATTTATTTACATTACGGATACATTTTTTAATTAATTTTTTTTATTTTTTAAATTATTTTTATCTCATCGTACATCACAACATAAGAAAAAAGTTTTATCGTAATTATTCTAAATAATATTTCAAACATACGTTGTGTTACTAAAGGTTACTAGTTATGGAATACGCGGAGTAACTAATCTATGCTTGTTTCTTCCCCTTTTGTCAAATTCCCCGAGGTTTGCAAGTTAAAACTTGTCTTCCGTCCTATTTGGGCCAAATTGGGCCAATGATCATATAAATCCAAATGTGTAAGTTTGGCAGGAAATCAATGCTAACTGAAGGCGAGGGACTGAATAGGGTAACTAGAAAAAAAAAATGTAGGAGTGCTTTTAACGTTACTTATCCTTGGTGCATAAAACAACCGCAAACTATTTGTATTTCCTTTTGATTTCGATTTTTGGTTTACCCTTTAGGGTTTGGAGTAGGTGCAGTCGGCATTGTATGCTGTTAATGCAGTTGTTATACATTTTACACGATGTGGTATACACTAAAATAATTTTGATGCATTGATAAATTTTGTCCCTGTACACTAATTTAAATAGACGTGTACATTAACTTTTGTAAGTGTACACATTACATGTTGTTAGTGAGACTGTTATACTTTTTACGTGATACGGTATGCAATCACGTAACTTCAATGTATTGATAAATTTTATTTGTGTACATTAATTTAAATAAATGTGTACAACTACACCAACTAACATTTAATGCTAACTGTACCTGTCCCAAATCCTCCCCTTTATGTTTCATTCTGTATTCTATGTGCAAAAAATTAGACATAGAAGAGTGTTAATTTCCTTTTGAATTCATCTTTGTTTGAAGTAACACACAGTGGATACACATGCAGAAGTCTAGCGGACAGATGGAGAGTTAGTTTTGTGGTGAGATTTGTAGGAGCTTCTCTTCCTTCGCGTGTTATATATACCACTGTGTCTCGAACCAGAAACATGATATGGCTGATCTGACTGTTTACCATACCATCTAATGGAAGCAAGTTCTGCAACCAGTAAGGCTGGAATTGCTAATACAATTATTTCATGGTTTGCAAAGAAAATATAGTAGTGTTTACTTGTGTAAACCTTCCTGTATTTGTATATCTGCACATCAACTTGGCAAATCATATTACACTTTCCTAAATCCAAGAGTAACATATAAAGTTTTTTGAAAAAAAAAAACACTAAACATATATAGTACGATGCTATGCAAACATAATATTCAAAAATAATAATAATAAATAGGAAAAAGCAAGCTGTAGAAAATCATATTATTTCTTCCGTTAATGGATAATCATATTATAGGAATTTATAAACTAATATGTTCATGGATGAAACGACTAACGAAAGGAAAAATACAATTTTTTTTGGGTGGGGAGTGGGGGGGGGGGGGCGCTGTTAGCATTCATTATCTGAGTGATGAAGATGACAAACAAAAATTTCTACTGGTAATTGATTCTCAGAACCATCAGAAGGTAAAATCATCATCATCTGGAAGTACATTGGAAGAAAAATCTGCTGGGAAATCGTGAAAAAGGTTACCATTCTCTGCACCTATATTTTCCAAGGCGGTTGCATAAGTTTCAGGTTTACCATATGTTGAAAGGGAAGCATCTCCATCAAAGCTCCCACTAGATAACAGACGTTCGTGATCTTCTAATTGCTGCTGCTGATCACGCACTTGATCATCAGCCTGAATGTTTTGAACAAAATTGTTGTATCCAAAGATACTAGATTGATGATCAGCTACGTCCATATCATTTTCTGCACTCCCTCCTCCAAAGTTCAAGTTGATTGGACCTTTGAATGAAGAAGAAGGAGCACTCTGGCAGCCCGTAAACTGTTGCACCAAGGCTCGAAAATTCGTAGTGTTGGCATTGAGGAGAATCATAGGAGTCTTTTTCGATGCCCTCGATCTTCTTTTGTTTGGCTTTGTTTTGTTGTCTTTGGGATCCAAATCACCATAGTTTGCGCAAGAATTTTCAGAGCTCAACATGGTTTTGCCTGTTAACTTTGTTATTTCATCTTCTTCGGTAGCATCAAGGAATCCCTTTGATTCCATTAGTGGAAACCCATTTTGCAGGAGTCCATCAGAACTAGGGGTGGTGAAACTCATTAAGAGTTTAGGCTGCTTCTAAGTTCTAACTTGGGCAGTATACACAAAACTACTAGCTAAGTGGGTGATTATCTTGCCAAGAAAGCAAAAACAATCTATGGCTGGAAGGTTTTTATATGACTAATTGACTATGTAGGCTGGTGTTATAGTCAGAGACTAAGACATGCTGAATGTTGACCTCGAATTCATGTTCCACAGAGAGAGGGAGAAATGTATCAAGCCAAGAAACCAGGTGCTTCTGGGAAGTAACATATTATCTTATCATATTTTTTTCCCCCTTTGATTGCATCATCCTAAGCTAGCTTTATTAAATTGTAAACTCGAAAGTGTACTAAGCACAATTCTGCCCATCAAGTGTAAAATGAACACGATAGGTTGAAGATGAAGAGGTTATTTACTGAATACTCTTAGAATTTGAAGAAGAAGAGTAGCCCTTATGAAAAGATGAGAGAAAAAATTTTACTGAATACTCTTGCCTTTTTTTTTTTAATGATTTTGTCTATTGAAGTTAATTAATTCCCTGTCAGAAATTTTGAAAAGCTAAAGTAATTAATGCTAGAAAACTTTGATGGTAATAGTTTAAGCATCTTCATGGATCATTTTGTCAGTGGCAAGATCAAGAATTGAACATCATCCATGACGCATTATTGTCAGTGAAAGAGATGTGTACATTTTACCACACTATTTTATAGCACGGCATCTTCCTGCCAAAGATAAAGAAATGGTCTTTTCATGTTTGGCGGATTAATGTCTCTTAGCACTTCAATTTTTGACTTTCTGTGTGTGATACATGTACTAAACAGTGGTTGACTGCGGACCCTAAAGCCTGCCAAGGTAATTAATATGATTTTTGAGGGAAGAGGAAAGTGAATTTCATTTTGCCTCCATCAGAAAAAGATTATGGTAGTTGGGGTGTTTGGTTCTTATTCTGAAATTGAAAATAGGATAGCAACTATAAACCTCAACATGGGTATAGGGTTTTTGGCACTATACCCCTCAACCGTTTGGATTGAAACCGAAATGAGTTTCATTCTGATTAATGAACTAATCAATTTTAAAATTAAAGGAATAACAAGGGGCAAAATTTAATTACTTTTACTTTTTTTTTTTGGGAATGATTCTCGTAGCAATCTACTAAATAGCAACAAAAGGTATCATTAATTTTAATGTTCACTCGTGATCTTTATACCGATCTACTAAACATCAATGTTTCAAAATCAGACCGTTAAGTGAACCGAATAAGCTTTCGGTTCAATTCGGTTCAAAGGTTTTTTATTCTTTTAATTGTTAACTGGTAACTTATATAACTTTGAAATTAAAAAAAAAATAGTTTGAAACCGTTCAAAAGTTTGATTCCTTATTGGATTCGACTGGTTCAAATCACTTTCTAAGTTGATCAGTGAATCTGATCGGCGTCATACTCCATTCGCGATTTGACCGGTCCGACCAGACGGTTCGATCTGGTTTCAAAACGCTGCCAAGCATCCCAAAATTTGTTATAAAAAGGATAGATCAGCCAAGGCTATAGGCCGTCCAACGGAGCTAAAATTTGTCAAAGGATGATCCCAATGTTAACTTGTTTCTAGAGATTAAGATTTGAAGGCGATGAACAAGAATTAAAGCAATGAAGACACGCATTTTCTGGCCAATGATCTGTCGCAAACATTGCCTTGCAAATGGCCAAATTCACTTGTTTTCAATTTTTTCACCTTAATGGGCACGCAATTGACACCAGAATTCGTTTATTTTTTTTGAGATACGTTTTTTGCGTGTTTACCTCTTCACCATTTGTACTTCTAGAATGATTAAAGGTACTTCAATATATGTATTTCTCACTATTACACAACTGAACTATATAGTACAGAAGGAAAATGTCAACATTGTTGACAACCGTCATTAATGGCTTGTCACTGATGGTCGGTATTGACCAGTCAATTTCCAATTTATGAGTAATAATAATGACCCTAATTTAGCAATATTTTACCCTTGAATTTATATATATTTACTTCAGAAAGAGAATATTCCATATGCAACTGTCGTGGCTTCTTATAAAGCACATTGTTTACCAGCATGAGTAGTTAATAAGTAGTTTTAGTGTGTTTGCCAGGATTACTGGCACGAGTACTTTTTACGTTGAATGATGTATGATTTTGACTGTTGAAATACTCTGTTGCTATCTTTATTTACTTTTAGTATATGATAAAATGATCAAACTTCATTTATAATTCTTTAAAGGATTTTTTTTAACTGGTTCCCTGACACGCATATTATTCACCTAACCTATCATGTATATACATATACTAATAATTATTAATATTATTCTCTCTTGCGTTTATATGCTTTCCTTATTTAATCTTGTTTATCCTCCTTTGTATTTATTTACTTTTTCTAATTAATCTCATATTTTTAAAAATATAACACTTGAAATATATTTTAATGAATAATGAGTGCCCCGTGGACACCCGTTAGACAAATCATTCTTTAAAATAACGAAAAGTTATCCCAAGAGCAAACACTCTAAAACCGTTTGAAAATTTATGAAACAATGATTATAAAACATCCCAAAATGGCTTTTATCATATAGGAATATTTTTTTTTTGTTAGCAAAAGTACCGCAATCCCTAATCGTAATAATTTGACCGATAGAAATGAGTGGTTCAACCGGTCGAGATTGTTTCTTAGGCCACCCAAATGACTTGACGAGCCATTGAGATTGCAAAATGCTACTTTTTGCTCCACTAAAGTTTCTTACCTTATTTGCTGATGAGGTTTGAGATTCTAAAATCAATAATACAAAAACGAAAAGCTAGCACAAATCAAGCATCATCAGATTGGTTGTAGTTCGGTTGTGATTCATTGGTTGGAAACAGAATTAGTTAATGTAATAACTTAATTTCATTGATGAAGGTGAACTTTTCTAGATTCATTCCAATCATTAAATTGAACGAGGAGCACTTTAGTTCAACTTAATACTCTTTTATCACCTGAAAGCGTCATATTTTCCAAGATAGAACATTCCAAAATGTTTATTATACACTTTTTAGTCTCTTCTTTTAATACAATCCTTTTTTTTTAATCACATGCATATTATCATTCAAATTCAAATTTTGAATGTGTGAAAATAAGATTAAAAAGAGAAGTACAAACGTTATAATCAAATTATTATTTTTAAAAAAATGAATCCTCAAGCATACAAAATAATTGAAACAAAGGAAGTACTACTATGTTTTGGAGATCAGAGTTGTAGTTCACTATACATATGATGATGGGCTTTGTGCTTTGAACAGGTTTTGGAGATGGGAATTGTGGTGCATTCTGTGGTCATTGGCATATCTTTGGGCGCATCAGAGAGTCCCAAAACAATCAAACCCCTTGTAGCAGCATTGACTTTTCATCAACTTTTTGAAGGCATGGGCTTGGGAGGTTGCATATCTCAGGTACTATAATTTGCACAGTAATCTACTGCCCTATTCATTGCTGCCTCATATGCTGTTCAGGCACGTACATATGATAGAATAGGCATTTGTAAAGCTTTAGCAAGTTCATCTATCGAAGTGGCAAGTCAATCTTTATTTGTATCTTTTGGTTCTATATATTATTGAGACCCCAATTAGCTAGATACAGCCCTCACTAGCACGTTGATAAGTGATAAGCTTTCTGCGTCTCTTTTTTTGTAGGTCATGCATCTTCTCAAAGAACTCCCTTTTTCCCATCTTTAGTCAAAAGTAAACAACTGATAATCAATTGGGAACTTTCTGCAATAACTCTAGTAAACTCTAAACCCCCCACCCCCAACCAAAATGGGAGAGAAAAAAAAGGAGAGAGAGAGAAAAAGAGAGGACCTGCTTAATTTAGCCAACCAGTGAAGGTGCATCCATGTCACTGATGTCACTGATGGTGCTTGCTAATACCAAGTGTCCTTTTCCATTTTGGAAGCCATCACATTCCATTTTCACAGTCAAAGCATCTCTGCCCACAATGTTGAATGGTCAGTGAGAAAATAAAAGGTGGATAATGCGATTTGACTGGCTACACCCTACAGCCCTGTTTACAGTTTGATAGTACATGGAATTCTTGCTATGCTATCATGGTGTGCTGATTACAGAAGCAAAACACTTTTACCTTCTTATTATTGCTTGAGGAGGGATAGGATAATAGAGCAATTAACATATCATTGAGTTGATCTTGTTTCCGTCTGGATGCTGTGTTGATTTTGCAGGCAACATTCAAGGCTAAGACTATCACAGTAATGGCAATTTTCTTTGCCCTGACAACGCCCATAGGAGTTGCGATTGGTTTAGGAATTTCAAACATCTATGATGAGAATAGCACAACAGCTCTAATTGTGGAGGGCATCTTCAACTCTGCGTCAGCTGGAATTTTAGTTTATATGGCACTTGTTGATCTCCTTGCTGCCGATTTTATGAATCCCAGACTTCAAAATAACTCAAGGCTCCAATTTGGAGCCAACTTTTCACTGCTGCTGGGAGCAGGTTGCATGTCACTTTTGGCTAAATGGGCCTAATATTATTGTATGTATTAGTATAACCTAGGAATAGTTACTTTGGAAAAGTTTCACCCTCACATCTCTTGGGAAGCAAATTCATTTTTGAAGATGGATTCATTAACGTGAGGGTATGAATTTTAGTTTCTCCCTCACGTAACAAAAAAAAATGCTCAACTACCCCAGAACAGAGAATGAGTCATATGAAGAAGTTCATCCCTACTTAACAAGGGTCTGTCCAACAAAAAAATAACCAAAACAGTCCAAAAAGTACAACAATCTGCAAAACCATGGAGGAGCACATCGTGTTAGAAGTCATACAAGAACAATGATCTTGTCTGTGGTTATCTTGAATAAGGAAGACGGTCTGCCAAATGCTCTAACTGCGCTAGTACTCATTTTAAATTCACCTTCATAAAATTGGAATTGACAGCTACCAGATTTCTGTATCTTCAACGTAGCTGTTTCGTCATGGGACACAACCCCTTGATTCATTCAGCCCCATGGAAGGAGCATTCTCCTCGTCACAAGTAAACTTAACAGTACTAGTACTAAATATGTACTTGATAGAGTGTTATTTGAAATATTATTTGGAATAATTACTGTAGCACCTTTTGTGATGTGATGTATCTGAGATAGAAAAGTGATTGGAAATATAAAAAGGTGAGTTGAAAAATGTATTTATTATGCAAGCGAAATATTATTTGAAATAATATGATATCCAAACAAGTTAGACTCCACCTAATATAGCCAGTAAATAGTGGCTTCGGCCAACTTACACAGGTCTCAATCTCATTATTGACCACCACAGTAACACCTATTGTTTATGGTCGCAAAACTTATTTAATCTGCAGCTCTGGAAACTGTAGTTTTGCACTGAATACAAAGTCATTAGGACGGTCAACTTCCATTAAATTGTGCTTTCAATTTTCATGACGACGATTCCCATTGGACCGTGCTTCCAAATTCTCAGATTCTCCTCCTCTGATTCCCATTGGACCGTGCTTCCCATTGGATTTACATTTCTATATATAATTTTTAGGTTATTTGGTTGCTATTTTGGAATATTTTATATGATTGGTTGAATATAATCAAGAACCTAATTTCAATATTTCTGAAATTTATAAAAATATAAAATAATTATGACATCAAACTGACGTCAGCAGATCTTTGAGAACGGTCTGAACCAGTTGACCCCTAACCTTATAATTTAATCGAGTCGCTATCCGGTCCGAATTTAACAACATTGTTTGTCCGTCTGAGCTTCAAAATAATCGTTTGACATACAACTTCCAAGCCCTCCTCTCAAGTAAGAAGATTAGTCACCTTTTTTAATCATAGGAGGCCGCAAGTAAAGATTATTCACCTTTCTTATCATAGGAGGATCACGTGTAGCTTTTGAAATTATAAAAAAGTTATGTAAAAAAAAGTGCTAAATTGTAGATGGCTAAAATGTAATGCATATTACGTTTATATATCTCGACCAACCTCTAATTATTTGAGTTTCTAAATAAGGTAATTTTGATACGTTAATTGGTTCCGGTCAGGTATCTATGTAATTGTAGATTTGAGAGCTCGAGGGATTTGGTAAAACTCATTTATGTACGAGTACTAGTAGGGGTGGGCTGTGCTCTGCACAGCCAGCGCCCATTGGAATGAATTCATCGGTAGTAATTGATGAAACAATAGCTTTGTAGTAGTCATAGTTATATTTTTCACATAAAATAATTTGTTTTTGTGGAATTTATTAGTAATTGCATTGTATAGAAGTAAATTTACATTTGTTTCTTTTTGTTTACCTTGTAAATACAAATGTGTATTGTTGGAAAAATACATTGATTTCTACAAACTTTAGAACGTTTTTGGTTTTAATTATGTTTTATTGGTGATAAGTTATTCAAAGAAGAAGTTACACACTTTGTGATCTCTATTTTACAAAAATTACCAGGAAGGAAGTTATGAGAACAAATAAAATGAATAAAAGCTTCTGAGCTTTAATCTACTTTGTCAAATGTAGCCACTTGACTTGTTGTTGTCAAAATTTTCATCTAAAAATGTAGTCAATGATAAGTAAATCACTCCATTGATTCATGGTCAAATGTAATGGTGAATGCATAACGAAATTACAAAGAACAATTAATCAAGTGGTTGAATTTTATACAAAAAAAAAGTTGTTAAAATTTATACAAAGAACAACCCAACTCTTAGGTAAATGGTAAACATCTAATCGTAACAAATCGTTAAAAGAAGTAAAACAATGGCCTATGATTTGCAAAGATTCGTTGTACAAGAAAAAAATGGAAACCAGGAATGATATGTATAAAAAGAGCGGGTGGCCAGAATAAATTCACTTGCCAAAATCATACAACAAATCTTCCGTTTTCCCTTACCAGTTGTTTTTCACGGGTGGCCATTTTTGTTTCCAGCTCCGGAAGAAATCCAAGAAAGGCGAAAGCTTGGGTTAACCTGAATAAACAAAAGGTCATTTTCTTCAGCAAATTATAGCCATATAAGTAGGTGAGGCAAATCATTTTCACCATCTGATTTAAATAAAAAAAAAAAAAAAAAGAAAGGCAATCTATTCCAATACAAATCTACAGCATTGTTGGTCCTACGCAAAAAATCTGTAAACCAGTTGACATCAAAGAATCCTCCCGGCGCTAAAACAATTGGCTTGTTTGCTACATCCTTGTAGATTTCTTGCACTTTGTTGTGTAGTACAATTGTATCAGAAGCATGCTGATCAGGTGCAACTCTTGTCCCAACTCCACCGCCGCAAAGTTCATTCCCTGGCCAAAATAGATGATGAAAAATTACCATCCGAAACTAATCTCAAACTATCTAAATCATTTGAAAAAACTATATAAAAACAGAGAAGAAACATTTCTGCAGTAGGCTAACCATAGAAAGGTAAATGATATTACCAAGTTCCCAACCATATATGTTGTAGCCCTTTTCAACAGTGTAACGAATAAAAGCTTCAACATTTGAGGAATCCCAAGCTCCAACTGCTGAACCATCGGACCTTATTCTCCTCCCCATTCAGAGCATTCAAACCAAATATAATTTCAGCCCTGGAATGAAGGCAGTGATTCATTAATTTCAGATCGATGAGAATAATGACAAATAATTACCAGTCTAACCAGTGGCGGAGCCAGGAAAAAATCTTAGTGAGGGTAAAAATGACACTAAAATTTTTTATCTACTCTTTTTTTAATTTTTAAGTAAAAAAAATAAATTCACCAACAAGTACAAATGATATGTATATTCCATGAAAAACATAAAAAGATAAATCATTAATATATGTCAAATCATTAAAGTTATTTATTAAATGACTTATTTATTCATTACTATATCAAATCATTAATCACTACATATGAACCTAATCAAGTTAATTAGACAAAAGAATCCATACAAGAATAATTTAAAAGTTAAAATATATGTCAAATGGTCCTCTATTCATCATTACATTAACTCCAATATAAGAAACTAATCAAGGAAAATAAAAAATAAATTATAAATCCATAAAATCACCATTTTACAAGTTAAAATATTTATCAAATAACCCATTTATTAGTTATTACGTTAACTAATCAATTTTCAAATTTCTTTAAAATAGTAATAGTCTCATGCTCTAGAAATATATTTGCAAACAAATTTAAAATAATAATAATAATAAGTAATTGTTTAGAACCTGATTTTGATGGTCTCTTAAAGTTGGTAAAAAGAGCTGCAAATTAGTGGCGGACCCAGGTCCCAGAAGATCAATTGATTTTGGTGCAATCTCTAAATCAATGAAGTGATCAAGAGAAAGAGTAACAAGTTTTGGTTGTGGAAGAAAAAGTGGCTCTCGTATGTATGTTGGCGAGTGGGGACAACCAAGAGTCAGAGGAGGAAAGAGAAATTGGGGAGTGGGGACAAAGGAAGTAAATGATTAATGATGATTGGATGAAGTGATAAATAAAAAAAGTTGTTAGTTGGGGTGTGAAAGAAGAGGGGTCGTCGGTTGTGAAAGGAAATGGGGGACCAGAGGAGTAAATGGAACTTGGGGAGTGGGGATCAAAAGTAATGACTGATAAAATTGGTACTTGGCCCTGTTGGGAGGGAAAATGGGGACCAGAGGAGGAAAGTGAATGATATAAATTTTGTGACCCATTCTTTCACATTTTTTCTAAAAAAAATTCTGGGGACACCTTTAAAATTATGTCAAAATTATAGAACTATTATAGGAATTTAAGGGCCCCCAGTGCCCCCCTTTAAATCCGCCCCTGAGTCTAACTAACCAAGGTGGTGTTTCTTACGTACCCAGAGATTTCTTGAAAAAGGAGTTTAATTCATCCCGTCAAGATGAAGGAAGGCACCCACCCTTGAGCGAAGCCAAACAACTTTGAAGAATTCTTAACAAATGAATGGCAGCGTTGATTACTCTGAGTTTGATATACGACATTATCTTGCAAGGTGCCCCCAAGTCTAATCTTTAATAGTGAAAAAGCTGTAAAATGAGGGGAAGATAGCAACTTGAGCTCCCATAACAGGACTATAACGTTAGAATGCCGTTTTTAGTAATCAAAAAAGCCAGAAAAAGTTAATACCTCTTACTGCATTTAATAAAATTATGTTGTTAAGATCCTGCAAATAAACCAAGAAACAGATCAAACCAGTCCATTAAACACTAATGTTTTAATTCAAATTGGCCACGGCATATAATAGCCCAGAATCATTTTGGACAATTTGAAATTCGTTAACATCTCTCTCAGAACACAATCAAGATCTTTTGGACTTTAATCAAAGAAGGCAAACAAAACAGAGCATAAATGATAAGCGACAAGTATTGTCTCCTTCCCCTTTTACAACTTCATTGCTGAAAGCATCAGAGTGAAATTCGCAGCCATCAAAAAACTTTTCTGACACTCCGTCTAAAGCATAAAAATCGCATCTTTTTAATCGGAAATGAATTTGAAGCTGAAATATACAGCTCAAACAAGCCACCATCCCCTTGTTATATAAAAGACGGCATTGGTTCATGTGGACTAAATCCATCAACAACTTCAGCATACCAACGTAGTAAGCTTGCAGGTAACATTAAAAAAGGCACACACACACACACAGACATAAACATGAAAC